GATATGTCTCAGAATTCTCGATGAGTACTAAATGAGTTATTATTTTGCTCAAACATGATAAAACATTGTGAAATTTTTTAACTGTAGATTTCTGCTGATTTTCACTTGCATGAAAGTGAATATTCTTACAGCATTTGTGGTAAGTCAGGAGCTTTGCAGTGACAGTGGATACTTTCAACTCACCACAATACAGGGGTAGGTAGAGGAGCCCCAAGTTCAGGACCCAGTGACCTGAAAACACAGCCTACCCTGATGGGAGCTGCTGTGTTTCTGAACATCACACAAGAGCAAACAAGGTGTTTTTCCATGACTTTGGGATTTGGAGATAGGCTATCAGCACAGAAAGAGAAGTGTGACCCAGGCTGCTCTTAGTGTGGTTTGTTTTGAAGTAATTCTGCATATCAGATTAAAATCATTGTAGATGAAATGATTGGTGGAAGGGGCCATAATGCTGGAAATTACAATTGTTTTTGGAAAACATGCCATTGGGTCTTAACTGCCCAGAAGCACTGTCCTAGTGGAGAATGCAGAGCTATAACAGGATTCTTCCACAGGGGTTCAGCTGTGACCACTCTGCTGGGGTGGGAGCTCAGCCAGCCCATCCTAGACAAGAGAAAGGAAGATCTGTTTTCCTCATTCCATTAATCTAGAAGGTGTATTTTCCTGGCAGATGTACTGCTGTGCAATTTCAAAAGCTAAAGGGAAAACCTGGGCAGAAAATAGATGACTCTTACTTACATGCCCTGTGAATTAGGCTTTAAATGTAGCCAGGAGCTCCAGGATACTAGAAGTTGGCCCAAGGTGCGTGGCCCTGGGGCTAAGACACATTCCCCCATGTCATAAGTCTGCCAGAGCTGGAGCTTCCTATTTCAGTGCTGTGTCCAACAGGTTACATTTCCTATTTGTTGCAATGAAAATAAAATTCTACTGGGATTGGCTGATGTATAAAATTTCTCCATTGGGCCGGCCCGGTGGCGCACTGCTACAGTGCGCCGCTTGGGAGCGCGGCGGCGCTCCCGCTGAGGGTTCGGATCCCACATATAGACCGGCCGCTCACTGGCTGAGTGAGGTGCAGGCGCAACACTGAGGGTTGCGATCCCGTTGCTGGTCCTGGTCTGGTACGGGCGCGACACTGAGGGTTGCGATCCATTGCCGGTCACGAAAAAAGACAAAAAGGAAAAAAAAAATTTCTACATTGCATTAGGACTTTTACGTGCCCTAAATTTCTTCACTTAGAAATCTACATTCTTCTCTAATGATAAAAGTAACTTGTAACTTTTAAAAATCGAGCATTTAGCACTTGCCAAGTATGTGTTGTCCTATATAATGCTCACAAGAACCCCATAAGAGTAGATGGCTGTCTTACTCTGCTTGGGCTGCTATCACAAAATGCCACAGACTGGTTGGCTTAAACAGCAGAAATTTATTTCTCACAGTTCTGGAGGCTGGAAGTCTGAGATCAAGGCACCAACTAATTCGGTTTTTGGTGAGGGTGCTCGTTCTGGTTTGTAGGCTGGTGCCTTTTCACTGTGTCCTCCTATGGCAGAGAGAGAGGGAGAGAGGGAGAAAGAAATCACTTTGGTGTGTTTCTTTTCTTATAAGGATGCTAATCTTATCAGATCAGGGACCCACCCTCGTGACCTCATTTAACCTTATTTAGTTCCTTACTCCAAATAAAGCCACACTGGGACTTAGGATTTCCAAGTACGAGTTTGGTGGGGACACGATTCAGTCCACTATTGGTGGGAGACCACACTCATCTCACAAACAAGGTTCATGGAGATTAAGGAGACCACCTAGGGTCTCACAACTTGTAAGTGGAGGAAGCAGGATTGTCAACCTTGGAAGGCAGCCTCCGAAGCCCAATGTTCTTAACCACTATCTGAAGAAGAAAGTACAGACACCCCAGACTTCACATTTTAGTCACCAAGATTTCTTGGCTATTTGCCCTCACGAATCTGCGAGCTGCTATCATTGCTTAGCAATAATTTGCACATACACTTCTATATATCAAAGGTATGTGCTTCTGATTTTACATCATATGCAGTATCTTATGTTAATATCTTATGAACCCATTGTCTCAAGCCATCGTCGCTGCCACAGCCTTGGTTTAGGACCTCATGCTGTCTCAACAGGAGGACCGTCTGCCTCTCTTCAACAGTTCCCTGATTTATTGTCTTGCCTCTTCCATCATCTGAGCAGCACCCAAAGTGATCTCACTCCAATGTGAGCTCTAACCTGCTCCCGCCCTTCTGCAAATCTTCCATTAGATCCCCAATGCCTGGAGTGCAAGTTTCAGCCTCTTGGCACAGTGTATCAGGCTCTCCGTCTTCCCACTTCCATCCTTCAAGACCCAACTGATAAAGCACCATCTCCTGTGTGGAATGTGCTCACACTTTGCTAAGTGTGGTACTTTTCTGATTTGAGAATCCAAACAACATCTGCCTCCTTAAATGAATTAAGAAACGCATTGTCACCTTCTGTATGTTGTACAGTTATTATATATCCTATGAAATTTGAAAAAAATGATCAGACTCAACTGTCTTTTTTATATAACTATTTATTTCTCTGTTTTGCTCTATATTATGGACCATTTTTAACATTTTACGTTTATTTAAGATGTCTTAAAATTTGACATACTGCTAAATTTAAAAGTAGACAGATGAGCATAACATCTCAACTTATTATAAAATATCTTTCCTGTTAATCATTATCCATCTCATTTTTATTTCTAGTTTTTTATTGTATTTTTTTATTACTTAGATCATCACTTTTTTCTAATTTAAAAATCTATTTTATTGATATCTTCTTGCTCCAAATAGTTGATTTATAATCCTAAATTTAATTATTTGTTCTGACTTTTTATTTATTATTATTATTATTATTTGCTATGACCTCCATTTTAATCTGATACCATCTTTGTAAACTTTATTTTAAAGAATTTTGAATAAATAGGATAGATTTTAATGCAATCTCAACTTTCAGTCTGTTTCGTCTCTTGGAGATAAAGTGTAATTCTTAGAGACAGCATATACTTGAACTTTAAAAAAATATCAAGCCCATAATCCTTCATAATCTTATGAATGAGTTTAATCTATTTGTATTTTATATTATATTTGAACAAACAGTTCAAATTATCTTTAGCTTGTGGTTGGATCTAATAAATAAAATCATAGTTACTGTTTTAATACCATCATATATTTGAATCTGTAAGTTTATCTTTTTTTGGCATTATTCTTGGCTTCTCTTTTCACTTGTGTTGTTTCTGAAGTGAACTTTAACCATTTCCCTTTAAACAAAATCAGAGGGCAATCTCAGACCAGTGGCCTGCTTGTCCTGTGCTTAACTTAATCCTCGCAGTGACTGTGCAGTGCCAGGGAGCCTGCTGAGTCCAGTCAGAATTGCATCTGGTGGGAGGAGCCCTGAATCATCACGTTTCAGAGGCAACAGCAGAATTTCAGACCAGTGGCCTGCTTGTCCTGTGCTTAACTTAATCCTCGCAGTGACTGTGCAGTGCCAGGCAGCCTGCTGAGTCCAGTCAGAATTGCATCTGGTGGGAGGAGCCCTGAATCATCACGTTTCAGAGGCAACAGCAGAATTTCTGTTTTCAAGCCATGCAAGTCCCCCTGTGTGAGCGGACTTTTAAGGAGTAGTGGTCCTAGCATCAGGTGCTATATCAGGGAACACTGGACAGAGGAGCCCCAGATGGGAGTACGGATGGGCTCCATTCTGGGCAAAGAAACCTCTAGAAATGACGTGGGAGTTCAGGTCCTCAGCTGACCAAAGTGGTGTCCAGAGCATAGCACTTGTTCAAGCAGATGTCTGGAAAACCCAGAATCAATTTGCTAACCAGCTTGGGGATGGTTAATTTGCTAACCAGCTTGGGGATTCCAGGTAAATTCTAGTCTGAATTCACTCCTAGGCCAGATCCCAGTGAGGGACAGAGCAGGCCGCCTCTTCTCAGTATAATAACAGCGAAGGCTTTGGGGTCAGGCAGACCTTGGTCTGGGTTTCCACTCACTACCTGTGAGATGTGGGGTAAATTACTTCATCTTACTTTCCTCCACTGTAAGTGAGGATATTAGCAGTATGCATGTTGCCTTGCTCTTTTACAGATAGAAAAGAGTTAAAGAGAAAGCAGGAAAAAGTACCTGACCCTGGAAAGGGCTCAATAAGTCTTAGCTGACATTATTGTCATATTTAGATCATGAATGAGAAGGGGTAATATAGTATACTTCCAGGCTGGCCTCTCTCTGATTCTGGAACTGGGAGAATTGAGTTGCCACTGACCTGAGCAAGGCTGATCAGGGGCAGCAGGAACAGACATTGTCACCTTAATCAAAAACATTCCCGAAGCATCCTCATGGAAGAGTACATCTTTGTACCCTTCACAGCGACTTGCCCAGCTCTTTATATATAACAGGTACTCAGTTATCAAAGAGAGAGGGAAAAGCATTAATAGTAAATTCTTTGCTCAGAAAACCATTATGTTTCTTCTCCCACTTTTTCCAAATTTCTCCTGCTTTAATTTAAACCCAAGGATTTTGTTTCCAGAAACTTTTCACTTTGGCTTTTTTCTTCTCTCTGACTCCATTTCTTGATCTAGTTCCTGACTCGGTCCCCTAAAGAGAATGACCATTATCTTTGGGTCTCTCTGATTCTAAGATGAATAGAAATCAGCAAAAGAAAAAAAAAGAAAGAAAGAAAAGCAGCTCCATCTGACCCTGACTTGTGCTCACCACCTGGTGACTGCCTCTGGCTTTACTGTTTGAATAACCTCCGGGTGTCCCATCCACCCCCACAGCACAAGGTTGTGCTCCAGAACAAATATTTGTCCCAATTTTGAACAAAGTTAGGGAGCTTTTCTCTTACTTCTTTTTCTTGTTTTTCAAAATGAACTGGACTCTTCTGCTGTTGCTTTGAACTCAGTTCTGAAGGAAGGAGTGGAATTCTCCCCAGACCATCTTCTCTGGAGAGCTCAGGAAGAGCTGCCCAGCAACATGGAAGGCCTCACGTGCTTGCTCATCTGTTTCTTTCTGTCTGAAGCACAAGCCTTTGAAATCCCCACCAATGGACTTTCTGAAGTAAGTATTTCCATAAGACTCCTTGCGGTTGGCTTATTCATATGCTCGGTCAGTAGCTTATTTCATTTGCTCATCGATGACCCGAATCTGTGTAGAGCGGAATGTTATGAGAACACTCATCTGAGGACAAGTGCTCACTGTTATAATTACTGGAGTGTGTATTTACTTTTTAAAGCATTAACAGGTGTTGCATGAGAATTAAGTCAAGTTCAACTGGCAGGTACACAGTGTACCATTTATGGAGCACAGTTGCTCACTCCTTACCGAAAAAATGAGGATAGTAATAGACCTAACCCAAAGGGGTGTTATGAGAATTAAATGACGTATGTAAACTACCTAGCACAGTGCCTGGACTAGTAAGTGCTTAATAATTAATAGCTATTATTATTATTGTGAAAAAATATCATTATCACTCTTTTACTAAAGGTATAAGAAAAGTCATTGTCAAAGCACCACTGATTTTCATACCCACATAAAAATGGTTTTTGTATGGACATTTTAAATATTCCTGTGAAAGGGGAAGCTGGCAAGTGGGCCTGCAAGAACTAATGGGAGTAATTCCCATTAGTTCAAGGTCTCCACTTTGGACTCTTGGCCTTCCCCAAAGTAAGCAATGTCTTGGACTGAGCCATTCTGGAAGCTATTTTTATACTGGAAAAGCAAAGTGTGTTATTGGACTATCCTAATGTAAAGGCTTGTAATGCTTGAGAAGTGGATTACCTACAAAAATGCCAAAGAATACGATGGCACATTTGCAGGGGGGAAAATCACTCTGTCTGCTTAGAAACTATCATATTTTCCAACACTTTAAAAACAACCAGAGTGTGTTGGAAATCTCAGATTGAAGCCGAGGCATCCAAATGTGTCTGTGCTTTTTCAGCCAGTTCTTGGTAGTATTCCTTTCATACCTATATTTTTAACTCAGGGAGACTGTACAGTTCACATCTGTCCCGTCCAACACTGCTAATGCCCCCAAGATCTATCAAGCACTTTTCCAGGCACCTGACTAATCACTGGGTCACTTTGATCCCTACTTGTCTGTCCCATCATCTCCTGGAAAATTCAAAACTGAATTTCTGCATCCAACAAATGTGAAGGTGTTAGTTTCCATTCACTCACCTCTGAGACACAATCAGCAAAAATAAATATATTGAAGAAGTCATTGTATAAGAACATGGGGATTACCCAGAGGTAGAGGAAAGAGTATAAAATAACATTATGAATACCACCATGCCTTTTTTTCTCTAGATCTTGTTTTTTAAAATACAAATAAACATCCTATAAATTCTTTTTTAAGTTTGCAGAATATGGAGATCTTGTGGAACTGTCCCCAGGCAAATTTCAATTTGTTCCAGAGAACCAGAGGTATCAGGTACAGTAGTAAACTTTACTTTCCAAAGGGAAAATAAATAAAAGAGACCATAGCTGAAGAAGTAAGAGGCATATTAAAATGATTATTGCTAGATTTTCTCAAGAGCTTGTTTTTAGCAGAGAAGGGTCTAGTGGTTTTACGCCTAGGTGGAAGCATTATCAAGGTGAAATAAAGTGAGACCTCCACACAGCTGTCCAGAGGCCTCAAACCATAATGGTCACCCTAGCCCCTTAAAGGATACATGGCTATGTGTTTTCTTCAAAATGTTAAGATTATGGAATGATCTTACTGCCTTCTAAGGAAGGACTTCCTGGTAGGAAGGCTTTTCTTATTTCAGTCATAATAGACACCTCCTGCTGAAGCCCCACCTTCCCCTTCGTCTGGTCACTCTGTCTGGGGAAGCAGCTCAGAGAGCACCTTGGGAAGGAGAACTGGCCACACTGGACTCTGCATCCTGGAGAACACCAGTGGCATCATAGACAAAATCCCCTAAGTAACGGGGCAAGTTCTCTGGAAGAGTTGGCTTCTCCCATATGGAGCCCACATGCTGAGAAAGGAGGAGTTTATGGAAGCTAAGGTGACCAGTGACTTATTTTGTATGGATGTGAATTTCTGACTTTCTTAAAGTCCAGGTTTTTTGTAGACCAATAATATTAAAACCCAGTATGCAAGTCCTCATGTCAAGATCTTCACCTAGCCAGAGGAGAGAAAACTTAGTCGTTAAACATTGCATTCAAAAAATCTAAAACAAGGCAACCGTTGACCTCACTATGTCACCTAGTACCCACTAAAACCTCACTTCATCCCAAATCAGGCAAACTAAGCTTATATCCAACACCTGACCTATTCTTTTACAATGCAGCAGACATTAAATGTTTACCCATTGCTCTTAAGCTTCCAAAGGCAAAGGGGTTATCTTTGTCCACGCCCATAGGAAAGCCATTGGTGCAGTAATTGTAAAGCAGGGCGAGTGCTCTGAAGTAAAGACTATACTGCTACGAAAACACTTAGTAAAGGAAGCTGACCTAGTTCAGGAGTTAGCTTTAGTTAGTTCAGGAGTGAGCAGGAGTTAGCTACGTGGGGGCAGGGCTGGGGGGACCTGGAAGGAAGAGCATTGCAGACAGTGGGAACAGCACGACCAGAGCCCACGACAGAGTGGGGCATCTAGGTCACCATTCAACTGAATAAAAAATGAGTCAGGCAGATAGAGCAAAGGGGATATACGCTCCCCTGGAGGAGTTTGGTTGAATGTTTTCATTTAAAAATACTTGTTTTCGCATCATATCAAAGAGCGATGTGCATGCAACCAAAAATGGTTGAGAAACTTGTTCTGAGAAACTGACCAGTGGGAAAATAGTTTTCAAGAATATTCAGTATTTATGTTCCGGCTCCAGTGAATGAATTGCAGCTCAGTATTGAAGAAAAATAAGTTTTTTTGGCTGCAAGAACAGTTTTTGTCCTTGAGGTAGTAAGTAACAGAGTTGAAGAATGATCATCTGACTTCCTTTTACAGAGAAGCCTTCCTGGAGAATCAGAAGAAACAATGGTAAGTTTGCTTTGATTTTGTTACAATTTGATGTCTGAACGATTTTCCTGTTAACTATTACCTGGAAATCAATCCTGTGTCTCCTTTGTCTTCGTCACTGAGTATGTACCTGACTTTCGAAATACCCCCTTACCCCATTCTGTTTGGAAGAGTTTCTAAAATTCAGCATTAAAGAGCACAGTATTTGCAGACAGGACAGATGCCGCCAAGAGCTGAAAATGTCCTCTCTCTTTATCTTCTTGAGTTTTGCCAACAGCACAGTTTTCATCCAACCATGTGCATTGATGTATTTATTCTGACTTACCAGTTTTGATTTAAATATATGACACCTGACAGCATTGGAGCATAAATGTCTGTGGGAAAGGAACTCTTACACATGAAGTGGCCCAATTCTCTGAGATGTTCAAAGCAGACCTTCCTGTGGCAAGAAAACGCCCAAAGGAAGTGGTTTATGTTGTACTTCCTGCTCCAAACTGACAGAAATTGCCAGAAGCACACACTTAAGGGGAGGAAGTACAAGCTCATTAGCCTGGATTTTATCTCAGCTTGAGGTGAGCTGGATGCTAACTAGTTGAAAGGTTTAAACTTGAATGACAAAGTTTGGGAGATAATACCTCTAGTATCAAAATAAGCAAATCCTTTTGGAGAAAAAAATCAAAATCTGATGGGTCACACAATCGCCATAGACCTGAAAAAGCTTGCAGTTGTCAAAGACTTCCTTAAGCCTTGCCTTAGAGCAAAATGACATGCTCAGACTTTTTACACTGGAGCTGCCTTAAATCAGCAAGGGATTGGTTGGACCAATAAACTGCACCAAAATGCCCTCTCCATGATATTCTGCTCTTTGCTCATGCTTATCGGTGTTCTCATAGCTTGTTTTAATTTGAAGAAGGAGAAGAGGACTGAAGATGAAATTGTAATAGACGAGATTGAGGAAGGAAGGCAGCAGTGTAGGGTGTGGGGGGCCACATGTGTACTTCCACCCCATAGCACCCCTGGGCTGCAGCCCCCTCTGAAGACACAGCCAGGGGCCCATTCCAACCTTGCAATCTTGAATCCTTGCCACATTTGAAGTTATTTCGCAGACTTTCTCTATCCAGTCTTGCTTCCCACAACCATCTTCTACTTGTAGTCTAATTTAAAAATCATTATTTACTCATAGAGCTAAAAGGCATCTCAAGGAATCTCAAAACAGAGGCAGACTTTTGCCTGTGGGATGTTCAAGCTAGAAGAAAGCTGAGCTATAGACTGACCAGTGTGCTAGAATTGCTCATGACAAGCAACATGTAGTGCTGTTAACAGCACATACATAGTGAGGTTCTATTAGCACAGTCATGCTTTCTTGTCAATTTCAGGAAGAGGTGGACCAAGTCACCCTTGAAAGCTATAAAGTCCAGTCCACTATTACTTCTCGCATGGCCAACACCATCATCCAGAGCAAAGTGGTGAACAACTCCCCAGAGCCTGAGAATGTGCTCTTTGACGTTCAGATTCCCAAAGGAGCCTTCATTTCCAACTTCTCCATGTGAGTAACTACTATGCAGAACCAGAAACTGGAAATGCTCCACTCACAGAATCAAAACCTCTCATAGTTAGGATGGACCTTTGTGGTCAACTGTTCCAGGGGTTCTCACTTCCAGAACTGTGGACCCGTTGGCTGTCAAGAGTCACTGTGGGGTGGGTCCCAATAATTTGTGTCTGTTCAAAGTGTCAGAATCTGTGAAGGATTTGCTTTGTGTTTCTGATAAGTTACAGCCAACTTAAAGCTATGTCTGTGGTCACAACTTCTTACTTCCTTGCATTTTTATATGCTTTCTTAGGGGGAGAAAAATGTATAAAATTGCCCTGGCTTGCAGAAAACCACATGAGTCTGTGTGCGGCAGGTTGGGGTCCACCTACAGCAATATGTTTCTCTGTAGAAAAAAATGTTGAGGACACTGGTTAAATACAGTCACTTATCCAGTGCTTGCATTCCTCTATTATACCACTGACAAGTGGGTTATCTGGGCTTGACTTGATTATTTCCTTAATGATAAACCTACCATTTCCAAAGGCGATCAACTCAATGATTGACAGTTCTATTAGAATTATTCCTCACACTTAATTTAAATATTTTCCATTTTCTACCCAATGACTCTAATTTTAATCACATGTAATAGAATAAAATTCTCTACAAAATAAATTGACATGCTCCTGGATGAAATGATACACTGTTTGAGATTGGCTTCAAAATAATCGAGATGGAAAGTATGGGAGTATAGATTGGCCAAGTATTAATAATGGTGTAGCTCAGGGATGGTTTCATGGAGATCTCTTATATTATTCTCTCTACTTTTTGTATGTTTGAAAATTTCCATAATAAAAAAAATGAACTATTTCAATATCTTTCAAATAGTTGAGTTCTCTTGTCTACTTGGAAGCTTTGGGTATCAAGGCTACAGGCTCCCTGTTCTTCCAAGAGCTTGGAATGGTTTCCTATCCCCTGAGCATCCAGGTGTTCATTCCCTGATCCTGCTCCAGGTGGTCAATATCCCCCTTAGGTCGCCTACAACAGAGCACAGTACTCTGCATGCAGTCTGCCTAGTTTTCATTGAGACATTAGGTTTAGTTACTTCTCATCTGCTTTTGTCTCTCGTACCCCAAGGTAATTAGTGACAATTGTGCATAAATAAAATAAAGAGTTCATTACCATGCACTGGGGCTGCTAAAAACTGCAGAGCTATGTTAACTATATTTTCTACACAGAACAAGATAGGTGGAAAAAAACACTAGGTGACTTTGAATTGGTATCCTTTCAATTGGCTCAAATATTTATAACTTTTTAAAGTCAGCCTTTTCTAAAAAAGTGAAGGGAAAAGGAAAAGTTTCTCCGTAGTAGTGTTATATGACACCATGTCTAAAAATGACACTTAAAACTATTGTAATAAATTCTTATTTTTAAACCACGTAATCAGAACTCATTCTAGGTTTCTCTTCTTTCTGTTTTCCTTTATTCTTCTTTTTCTGCCCCATCTCATTCCATAGAAGATTGGAGGTAACAAAAGATAGACTAGTGAGACATACATTTATTTTGGTCTTCCTCAATGCAGAGGTGAATTTACAGGACTAGAGAAGATAGCTGCTTATTTGCCACAATTTAAAATGTGCTGTGTAGTCCTCCCTACCAGCCAAAATTTCTCTTCTGCCTTTTTAATCAAAGTTCCAAATATTCTACCACGGGAGATGATTTCCTTTTGTCTTTGAGCCTGAGTGTGATTTGATGGAAGAGTGCTGGCCTGGACACGGGGACTCTTGTTCTAGCTCTGTCTCTGACGAGCTGGCTATGTGACAAGTGAGCAAGTCACTTGTCTCCTGGGGTCTGACTTCTCTCACCTAAAAGGGAAAACCTAGAAGTACACCTCCAGATGTGTGCTATTGGCATTTGGGACAGGAAAATTCTTTTGTGGAGCTGTCCCTCGCATTGTGGGATGTCCTCCCATAAATGCCAGGAGTACATCCTGGTCATCACAATCACCAAAGACTTCTTCACATATTTCTAAGTTCCTCCTTGGGAGAGATACTGCCCATATGAGTCCCATAAGTTCCCGTTTATTTCCGTAATTCTACTGCTCTGACCAATTATTACTTGGCAAGGATTAGGTGCTAGCCAGCTAAAAGTAAGGCGGGTAAGGACGAGGTGCAAAGAGAAGACGTGGTCCCCAAGGGGGATACTGTAGAGATGACAGGGTTCAGCAGCACCTCCTCCATCTTTATTCTCCACCCTTGCAGGAGCACGTAATACGCTGCCTCCGTCAGCTCAGCTGCTAGAACAGAGCACCATCAACTCGGCAGCTTAAAAACAACAGAAATTTATTTCTCATAGTTCTGAGGGCTGGGACGTTCAAGATTGAGATGCTGGAAGATTCACTGTCTGATGAGGGCTCGCTTCCTGGTTTATAGACATGGTGGAAAGGGATAAGAGAGCTCTCCGGCATCTCTTTCACAAGGGCACTAATCCCATTCATGAGGGCTCCACCCACCTGACCTAATCATCTCCCAAAGTCCCCACCTTCTAATACCATCGTATTGGGAGGGTAGGACTCAACAGGTGAATTTTGCAGGAGACACAGACGTTCAGTCCCCTGCATACTCCCGGGCTACACCAGATTCTTAACTTGCAGAACAACAATCTGATGAAGCAAATGAGGGTAGGACTCAACAGGTGAATTTTGCAGGAGACACAGACGTTCAGTCCCCTGCATACTCCCAGGCTACACCAGATTCTTAACTTGCAGAACAACAATCTGATGAAGCAAATGAAAGTCAGATAATTAGTGATTTATCAGTCACCTCTCATAGTCATATGTGTCATTCAAGATGGATACCCAAAGAGAACAACACTTAATCTGAAGGATAAAATTTGAAAATGAGAAAAATATTTAAACACCAACAATAATACATGAGGGAAAATTTTCAGGATGGTAGTCTATCTAGCCCCTCTCAAACCACACTGTCAAATAAATCTTTGAATTATTCACATGTCTCCCTTCTTGTTTCTTATAGATGCAGGATGGCCATCACCCCCATTCAATAAATCAACCTTGCCAGGTTGTTTGCTTGCCTCTCAAACCACACTGTCAAATAAATCTTTGAATTATTCACATGTCTCCCTTCTTGTTTCTCATAGATGCAGGATGGCCATCACCCCCATTCAATAAATCAACCTTGCCAGGTTGTTTGCTTGGTGTGTGTGTGTGTGTGTGTGTGTTTTGTTAACACTACTATTCCAGCCAACTGGCTGCCTTCTGTCATTTTCTAGGACTGTAGATGGCACTACATTTACTAGTTCCATCAAGGAGAAAACTGTGGCCCGAGCTCTCTATGCACAGGCAAGAGCCAAAGACAAGCTGGCTGGATTGGTGAGGTAAGGACTGAATGAACCGAGCTGCCCTCTCCTCTCGATTGCTGCTTCCCCCACATCCTATCCCCCAACCCAGCCTCCAGAAAGGCACGGAACCTAAGCACATGGCAACGTAGTCAGAATTAAGTGTCACAGTTTCTGTTTCCCTAAACGCCTCTGTTCAACCACTGGATTTTGGGAGATGTCACATAAGTTGTACTCATATTGCTTGTCTTGCAGGAAGATGGATGTTCTATAAATAAACACTGATTTTTCTAAAGAACATGGAGAGGAACTACAGAAATATTGGGGCTCTTGTTACAAAACAGTATAGGGAGAGAGGAAAAAGTTTAGAATTCATTTTAATGATTTATTCTACCTTATTTTTACGGGATAGGGCCTTCCTTATCTAAGATTTTTTTTCCTCTTATAATCTTAAATAAGACACTGGGAATGCCAAACCACCCTCACAAAAGCAACCTCTCAAGCAAGACACTTCAAAGACATTTTCAACGTCTCACTCCTTACACTGCAGACCTAATCTTCTGCAAAATCTTGCCATGTTTTTTTCCTCATCTCTTCTGTCTCTACATCCCGAAAGTTACCTTTAGTTGACATTCTTTTCATTTCATGTATGCATTTGTTCATTCAACAAAAATGCATCACATGTCAACTCTGTACCCTATTCTGTTAGAGACGGCAGAAGCACAGAAACAAACGGTCAGGCTCACGGAGGAGAAAGACAGAGACCAGTGAGTATGACATCCATAGTGGGGCAAGAGCTAATATAGAGAGGGTGCAAGATGCTCCAGGAGTTCTGAGTGCCATGCGTGTAACTCTGTCCTGAGGTCCAGGAAATTTTCACAGAGGACTGATGTTTGAGCTGAGCCCTAGTAGATTAATTTACAGAATTTAGCCAGGTGGAGAAAGGAGAGAAGAAATTCCAAGCAGAGTAAACTCCTCCAGGTGTTTTATCTTTATGAATCATTTCTCCTTCTTTACCCATCGTTTTGACCACATCATCCATTCATTTATTCACTCCACAAATATTTATTTGTAACAGAAACTCTCCTGGAGATAGAGCAGAGCAAAGACCTCAAGTTCCACTCACCCCTCAGATAAACATGGCCCTCGTGCATGCGCTGCTCTGAGCTTTGCACCAAGACATGTGCATCTCTTTCTTCATCTACTCAGTATCCCAAACTGCGGCTCGCAATACTTCCCTGATCCCAAATGGGCTGATAAGGCACAATCCCACCTTGCTTACTTAGTTATTTCATTTTAAAAAGTCAGTCATTATTTATCTTAAGCTGAAATCACCCTCTTTGGATAATTCCACTATTTTCTCTTCAAAACCATAAACACCTCAAGTTCAGTGATCACATTGTACTTGATATGTATAGTGACTAAATAAGGCCTTATGCTGGAAATATGTACTCAGTTTGATGAAATAATAGATTTCTTCTTTCTGAAGACCTTCAAAAATGTAAAGAATCCTAGAATGAGTCTCAAATACAGTATAGGGAATGTGTGCGGTCTTTGGGGTCATCTGAACTGGGGCTTAAGTCCTGGTCCTACCATTGATTAGCCATGGGGTCCTGAGCAGGTCCCTTATCTTCTTGAGTCTCACTTGTTATCATCTGGAAAATGAGAGTAATGACATGCATCTTGCAGAGCTACTATATCAGGGATGATGTATGTTAAATGCCTGGCACAGAATAGGGACCAATCACTGGTAGCTTTGAGCAGATGACACTCAAATCAGTAAGAAGCTCCAGAAGCAAAAGATCAGGCAGGAGAGGAGAGTGAAGCTCTTGGTGGGATTAAGTTTTCTAGAAGTTGCACTTAATTCTATTGCCTCTACTGTTCGTTTTCATGAACTGAGCCGGTCAGGTCACCCTGGAAAGTCTACACGCCCCCTGCTCAGATTCTGGGTTGTGTGCCTCTATGGTGCATGTAATGACCGATGCTGGGGCCTCTCCCCTTTAGGAGCAGTGCTCTTGATATGGAGAACTTCCAAACCGAAGTGAACATCCTCCCTGGGGCAAAGGTGCAGTTCGAGCTTCATTACCAGGAGGCGAAGTGGAGGAAGCTGGGATCCTACGAACACAGACTTCACCTGCAGCCCGGACGGCTGGCCAGACACCTGGAGGTGAGCGGGGATTTGTAGGTGAAAAGTGACACCCTCCTTTCACGGGCCCTGTCTCCGATTTCAAGTTTCTCTTTGTCACCACTATTCGTGGTGTTGATGCCACAAGTCTCTGTTTTTTCATGTACAATAAAAAATAACAAATAATAACAATAACAAATAATAGTAATATTTGTGAGTGAAATGAATTAATACATGTGAAATGCGCAGCACTATACCTAGAGTATAATGAGCATTCAAGAAATAAATAATAACAATAACAAATAATAGTAATATTTGTGAGTGAAATGAATTAATACATGTGAAACGCTCAGCACTATACCTAGAGTATAATGAGCATTCAAGAAACGGCAGCTATGACTATGATTTGTCAAGAGTCACCAAAAAAGATTTTCCTCTGTTGAGCTTTGTTCAAAGCAAAGGGACAGAGAAGGAATAAAAATGCCCAGATATGAAGAAAACAATCTGTTTTTGATGGAGCTACAGAGCAAATGCAGAACAACCCAGTAATAGCTTTCCCTCTTCTTTTTTCCCCTAACAACATGAATGCTCTGCTGATAAATAAGAGTAGGATAGAATGAAAAAGGGGAATGAAATCCTAGGGGAATGAGGCAATAGAAAGAGAATACTGAGTTGCCAAGAAGGGGGTAAGCCTCCATGGTGAGTTGAGTCACCTCCCAGGGAATTTGAAGAACTCGTGGAAGTGATCATGGAACCAGGGAAACTCAAAGATGGGAAAAGCATCAGAGGACTTATTAGTAAATTTACTTCCTACTAACAATGCCTTAAAAGACTTAATTCTTTGAGTACTTTTCTCTCCCATCTCTAGGTAGACGTGTGGATTATTGAACCTCAGGGAATAAGATTTGTTCATGTTCCCGACACATTTGAAGGTCATTTCGATGGTGTTCCAGTCATATCTAAAGGACACCAGAAGGTACCATAAGCATTGCATGTTGCCAAGTGTGTAAATGGCCACTAGCTCCTGGGTTCTGTCCTCCTCCTGTGCTCTGGAGAATAGAAAGAGGTCCGGCGTTGAGCTGAGGACATTGGATGAAGGGACAGTGATCCCTGCACAGAGTCCAGGGTTTTTCACAGGATGTGCAAAACAATACTCCCAATTGTCACTCTATGCTGACAAGAGACTGTCCCTTTTGGAGCCTCATTTCTCCCTGAGGCATCTGCTTGACCAGTAGCTAAAAACAGCTTTCACATAATATATGGAAGATTTTCATTAATCACCACAAGAAATATTCAGCTTAATTCTCTCTGCCTTCATTGCCAATGATAACCAACAATGAAGAGGTCAAACTCCTCTAAGAACCTTTTATAAATGTTTCCCAGAGCTAGTAACAACCCCTTCCATGGTGGTTGGAGAAAATGCTTTGAATTTTTTTTTTTAAAGGCCCAAAACCTGACAAACAGCACCACACTCTGGCAGACATCGAGACACTGCCCTCCAAAGCCCTGGCCCCGTTCCTTCCATCAGTAATAGGTCTACTGGTGTTGACTGGATGCAGCAGAGCCATTGGGCAACACCTCTTCCCCTGTGTGCATGAGCAGGTGCAGTGTTGAGCCTCCTCTGGAGAGGGAGGGAGCACAGCCCTGGCTCTGACATCACTGTCCTTTCCAGGCGCATATCTCCTTCAGGCCCACAGTAGCACAGCAAAGAAAATGCTCCAAGTGCTCTGAGACTGCGGTGGATGGAGAGCTGGTGGTGATGTATGATGTGCACAGAGAAAAGAAGGCTGGTGAACTCGAGGTGCGTACAGAGAACTGTTTCTTGGTGAACAAACTCTGTTCACCAAGGTCTGTGGGTAGTTTCTGGCTGCTGAGCCAAAGGTTGAGGCTGCAGAGAAGGGATTAAAATCACATTTCTCTAATATGCCACCAAGCATTATCTTTTATGTCATGAAAACTAAGTACAGGGTCACCAGGTTGCCCTTGTCCCAGAAGGGCACTTCTATGCCTCATAGGAAGAACAATAGAAAGTTACCAAATGGGAATTTTGTATAACCTCCCAACACCCTTTGCAATTAGATGATTTTTTAAAAATGCACAGAAATTATGGGGTGAGGAGGAAGGCACAGCCAAAGCCTAGAGAAGGATCTGGAACCAGTGGTGAATTCCAGGGTCAGGGTTTATTGTGAGAGTTCTTGGGAGGTTTCATTTCTCCTTTTGTCATGTCTTAGATGTGTATCTCCATTTCCCTTGTGCTAAGGTAAGAACCCTTACAGTGTATCAAAAGGCTGGGAATCTCTCCAGGGACAGAGGGCAGAGAAGTGTCTTGGAGGCCATAGCCACATACCCTGCAGCTGGACACTGTAATGTCCTGGACAGAAGCAACCAAAGGGCAGTGGAAAGAAAAATATACGAGCCTGTCATTGGAGCCTACAGTAGAGGACGAAAAGGGTGGGCAGGATTCCAGCTGGAGTGGCCTCCCATTAACTTTGAGAAAAATCCAAATTTCCTAAAGTGGCACAGGAAGGTCCTTCTGCACTGTCCGGAAGTCTCCTCCCCACCTCTGATCCCCAACCCAGCCCAATTCCTACACCCATGGGCTAACTGCATGCTCATCCTCATTTCCCAGAGTAGATGGGGAAGCCTCCTCCATCTGAGTTAGATTTGCCTCCTCTGGACTCTTTTGGAGCCCTTCACTTTCCTAGTCATGGCACTTAACACACTGTGCTGAAAATTGCTTTGTGTCTGTCTCCTCCACTGGCTGTGAGACCCATGAGAGCAGAGAGTCTGCCTGATTCACTGTTGGTTAGCAGGATGCCTGGACCAGAGGCTCTCAGTAAAGACTGAGTGGAGTGGAATGGAATGGAGTGGAATGGAGATTGGAGTGGACCAGAAAGAAGTGGAATGGAGTGGAGTGGATTGGAGTGGAACGGAGCAGAGTGGAGTGCAGCAGAGTGGAGTGGAATGAAGTGGAGTGGATGGAGCGGAGTGGAGTGGAGTGGAATGGAGTGGAGTGGAGTGGATTGGAGTGGAACAGAGCAGAGTGGAGTGCAGCAGAGTGGAGTGGAATGAAGTAGAGTGGAGTGGAATGAACGGTGGAGTGGAATGGAGATTGGAGTGGACCAGAAAGAAGTGGAATGGAGTGGAGTGGATTGGAGTGGAACAGAGCAGAGTGGAGTGCAGCAGAGTGGAGTGGAATGGTGTGGAGTGGAGTGGAATGAACGGAGTGGAGTGGAGTGGAGTGGAATGGAATGGAGTGGAGTGGAGTAGAATGGAATGGAGTGGAATGGAGTGGAGTGGAGTGGAATGGTGTGGAGTGGAGTGGAATGAACGGAGTGGAGTGGAGTGGAGTGGAATGGAGTGGGGTGGAGTGGAGTGGAATGGAATGAACGGAGTGGAGTGGAGTGGAATGGAGTGGGGTGGAGTGGAGTAGAATGGAATGGAGTGGAATGGAGTGGAGTGGAGTGGAATGGAGTGGGGTGGAGTGGAGTAGAATGGAATGGAGTGGAATGGAGTGGAATGGAGTGGAGTGGAGTGGAATGGAGTGGAGTGGAATGGAGTGGGGTGGAGTGGAGTAGAATGGAATGGAGTGGAATGGAGTGGAGTGGAGTGGAATGGAGGTTGGAGTGGACCAGAAAGAAGTGGAATGGAGTGGAGTGGATTGGAGTGGAACAGAGCAGAGTGGAGTGGAATGAAGTGGAGTGGATGGAGTGGAGTGAAGCAGACTGGAGCACAGAGAAATGGAGTGGAGCATAGTGTAGCTGAGTGGAGTCGAGTGGAAAAGAGTGGAGTGGAGTGGAGCAGAACAGAGTGGAATGGAGTAGAACAGAGCAGAGTGGAGCGGAGTACTCTGCTGAGAAGGCGTGGACCCTCACAGGAAAGGAACGAAGGGAGCAGCAGGAGAAGGAAAGGACGGGTGGGTGTCAGGCTCCCCTCTCCTCACCATCACTCACCTCTCCTCTCTTCGTCCCCAGGGCCCCATCTCTCTATCTTCTAAACATTGGTCCTGATTTGACTCACAAATATGTTCTATTTTTCAGGTATTCAATGGATATTTTGTACACTTCTTTGCTCCTGAAAACCTGCACCCAATTCCCAAAAACATCCTCTTTGTTATTGATGTTAGTGGCTCGATGTGGGGAGTTAAAATGAAACAAGTGAGTGTCCCCCTCGTTTGCAGTGGTGGGTGGGACTACCTGCCCGTCTTTGATCTCCTCCCAACAAGGCAATCGTTCAACCCTTCCTCCCCCTTAGCACCAAAACTCAGTGACTATGGTTACTCACTAAGGGTGTGGACTCTTCCCAGTGTTGAGATTATTGTGTGTTCTAGTCATTCATCCCTTGTAAAATTCCCTTTCTTCTCATCTGCCTCTTTCCTGCTTCCTCTTTTCTCTCTTCCTCTCTTTTCCATGCTGTGTTCAGTATTTCCTTGAAAAACCACCTCAAAACTCACATCTTTGAAACATTTCATCTCTGCATAACCTCCTCTTGCTCTGATCACTCCTATTCTTTTGGTTCTTATGCATAACAGTTTTCTGTAATATCTTGCCATTGTTTACAAGTAACTCTTAAATTGTTATATGCATATTATTTCTTATTATGTTGCACTTCCTTGAGGGTGGCTATCCTGATCCATATCTTCCAGTTTGGAGCTCAGTATAGGCTTATTCAATGATAAATGGCACAAACACAAATCTAAAAAATAAACAAGAAGATTTCTTAATTTATCCATCAGTCTATCCATCCAACCACTTTGAACAACCAACCTACTGTTATTCACTCAACAACTATTTTGATCACCCAAGTGTTCACTACTATTCTAGGATCTGTAAGGAATCCATGTCATGTATGGACCCTGCCCACCTGTGCTTTCACTCCAGTACAGGGTTTTTCAGCTATGGCACTACTGATACTTTGGACTGGGTCGTTCTTTGTTGGGGGGTAGTCGTGCTGTCCTATGCGTTACAGAATGTTTAGTAGCATCCCTAGTCTACCACTAGATTTCAGTAGCACAACCTCCTCCCCAGTCGTGACAATCAAAAGCAACTTCAGACATTGCCCAATGTCCCCTGGGGGGAGTAACTGCCCCCAGTTGAGAACCACTGCTCTAATATAATGGTTCATTTATGGCTTCCTTCTTTCTATCCTTTACTCATTCAACAAATATTTATGAAGCACCTACTATGTGTCAAGCACTTAGTTCATCAACAAAATAGATCAAAAGTTTAAAAACAAAAAACAAAAAAATCATCCCTACCCTCAGGAGCTTATGGAACTTCAATTCTGGGGGTAGGTGGGACAGAAAATAAACAATACACATAATAAGTAAATTTAAGAGTATGTTCAACAGTAGTGTTATGAAAAAAGTGTTTTTGTTTTTGCTTTTTTTTAAAGAGAGGTATATTAGGAATCAGGAGTGCCAATTGCAGAGAGATGAAATTTTAAATAGGTTTGCTATTGAAATAGATGGTTTTATTGAAACAACCTTTGAGGAAACCCATAGAAGGTGAGGGGAGAGTGGTGCAGATATCTGGGGGCAGCAGAAAGAGCCAATGCAGTGGATCTAGTCAGAAGTGAGCCAGGCAAGGAACAGAGAGAAGGCCAGTGGGGGAGAGGGTGGGAGATGAGACCTGATAAGTAAGGGGCAGGGCAGGTCTTGGAACACCTGCCAGGTCATCAGCAGAATGGTGGCTTGTACTCAGATAGAGAGCTGTTGGTGGGGAAGGAGTGTGGGGATGGATGAATGAGTGACATGATCTGACGTTACTGAAGGGCTGCCTCATTGAGAAGAGACTGGCGTGAACCCGGATGGCATCTGTGGATGTGGGCAGAAGTGATTGTATTCTGGAATGTGTTTTGAAGGTGGAATGAACAGTATTTCCTGAAGGGTTTGCTGTAAGGTGCAGGGGAGAAAAGAGGGCTGAAAGACACTGCACGGCTTTTAGCCTGAGCAACTGGAAGGATGGAGTTTGCCACCGGTGAGCTGGGAAAGACAGCAGCAGGGCTTTGGTTTTGGACATATTGAGGTTGAGATGTCTGTTAAACGTCCAAGTTGGACGTGTCAAAGAGGATGTTGGCTATACAGGTCTGGTGTTCAAAAGTGAGATATGGAGATAAACAACCAGGCGTCATCAGCATGCAGAAGGCATGTACAGCATTGAGACTAGAAGAGGTCACCAAGGAGGAGGTGGAGAAGGGAATCAAGATCAAACAGTAGAGAATTTCAATATTAAGAATTTGAGGAGAAGAGGAGAAACTAGCAATAGAGACTAAAAAAAAAAAAAAAAAAAAAACTAATGAGAGGGGGAGAAAAACCAAGAGTATGAGGCCCTGGAAGACAAGTGAGGAAGTTGTGCTCGGGAGGGAGATGTGGGCGGTTGGTTCAATGCTGGTGATAGGTTGAGTGTCACGAGATGTGAGGATAGTCCGTTGGGTTTAGCAACATCAAGGTCATTGGTGACCTTGCCAGGGGCAGATTCAGTGGAGTGATGGGGATGAAAACCTGAATGGAGCGGGTTTAAGACAGAATAGGAAAAGAAGATTTGTAGACACTGTAGTTAGACAATTCTCCCAAGGAATTTTATTGCAAAGGGAAGCTGAGAAATGGAGAAATTGAGTGAAAATAAGGTTTTTAAAGGGGTGAGACATAACAGCATGTTTTCATGTTTATGGAAATAGCCCAATAGAGGAGAGAATTGTAAGAGGCAAAAGGCAATTGCTAGAGCCATGTCCTTCAGTAGATGAGAGGGAATGAAACCCAGTTCCTGAGTAGATGGATTTGCATTCGGTAGAAGAACAGCTAGTTCTATATTTCCAGGCAGGAGAGAAAAATGTATGAGTACGAATATTGCTCGGTGGGATTTTATGGTGATGAGAGTCTGTGGAATTGTCTTCTGATTGCTTTGTTTTTCAGGGGAGTGGAAATCAGGGTCATCAGGTGAGGCAGAGGAAGAGGAACATGATGGTTTGAAGAGGAAAAATATGAGAAATAATAGTTTAGCAGAGTAGTTGAGTAAACAGACCTGAGAAATACATTTGATTTTCAGGCACCACTAAGCAAGCACCACTAAGCAAGTTTGTGATCCTTAACTTAAACTAAGACTAGTCAGAGTAGTTGAGTAAACAGACCTGAGAAATACATTTGATTTTCAGGCACCACTAAGCAAGCACTTGAAGTTTGTGATCCTTAACTTAAACTAAGACTAGTCCAACTAGTTGTACATAACAGTTAGGTAGTAAAAGTTTAAGTATCAATAAGCCAATAATACATGTTGAAAATAAGTGAGAGGTGTGTTCTGTGTTGTCTGAGGTGGGTTCAGGAGGTTTTCTGGAACAAAGCTTGAGTCGGTACTTGAAAGACGACTCAGATCAATGATTGGTCTTCCTAGTTGCTTCTTAGGCTTAGAGTTTAAGTAGAGACCCTTCATTATTCTATTTTGAAATAGACTGTGGAAGCAATGAAGACCATATTGGATGACCTCAGAGAGGAAGACCAGTTCTCCGTGGTTGATTTCAACCAGAACGTTCGGACCTGGAAAAATGATTTAGTTTCAGCTACTAAAACACAGACTGCTGATGCAAAGAAGTATATTGAGAAAATCCACCCCAGTGGAGGTGAGTGTGTTGGCCTAAAACTCAGTGAGAAACTTCCGTAGGGTTCAAGTCTTGGTTGACTTAAGAAGCATTATCCACCCCTCCCTGCCCCCTAGTGTTTTTTGCCCTGTCTGCAATGGTCTGCCTTAAATAATATGGTTATTGGTAAACGATGATACTAATTTCGTGGTGAAAGTACAACACGTAAGCCAGCTCGCACACATTTCTAACCTTCAGCCTTTTTCAGAAAAGGGTTCAGTAAGTGACATTACCCTTCTTTATTACTTGCGTGGCAGAAAAGTAACTGTCTTCAGAATATATCAGCAAGGCTGATTTAGATACCTTAAATCTGATCTTTAACAAAATGACAGACTGGTGCCTTGAAAGGGATAATTCTTTCTCTAAAGGGATAGTTTACTTCAAAGTGAATATTTTACTGCACTGGGGAACTTGACCAGGTTGAACAAAATCTGTGTCACTCGGAAAGCAGTTGAATGATTTTGGTGTTAAACAGATTATGCATAAGTCATCACCAGACAGATGAACCTGAATCCAAGATGTGATTTGTGTGCATGTGGAAAGAAAGCACGTGTAACAGCACATTATATTACTTTAACAGGCACAAATATCAACGAAGCACTTCTGCGGGCAATCTTTATTTTGAATGAAGCCAACAACTTGGGATTGTTGGACCCCAACTCAGTCTCTCTGATCATCTTGGTGTCTGATGGAGATCCAACAGTAGGCAAGTACCACCTCCATTTTCTCCTGACACACATTTTCATTGTTGTTTCTTAGGAATGTGATTTGCTTAAAATGGGTACTCTTGTGGCATTTGCCTGAGTTTCTAAAATACTTTAAACCCGTGCATCCCAAAGGAAGTTGTCTGACCGTGAAGCACTCAGCCCCTTAAACCAGACCTCAGGGACATCAGTAGTGCTCCTGAATGCCTCAGTTTCATCTCCACAATGAGCGGAGCTTGAGTTTGAGTTTTAACAGTATGTTGTAAGGACTGCTGATGGATGCTCGTGAAATGCTTTTACTTCCTCAACTTAAGTTGTGTGCAGATGGTGTGCGGGAGCTGTGAATGATGAGTATTTATCCAGATCGCCCAGTGGTACTTCTGGAGGCCACAGTCACATGTTTTCTGTTGTTCTCCACATTTCCCAGCTGCAACTGGAGAAATGACTGCTCTCTGATAAAACCTTTAAATTAGTCATTTTTCTTATCCACAAAATGGCTTCAGCATCTCCCCACTTCTATTATCTATTTTTCTTTTTGTTAGTTTTATTTGGGTCTTTATACTGACAAACATAAGTAACAGTGAATGCTAGATTGTGCTACATGAGTGTGTAGACAAGGACCACGTCTGTCCTGTGCCTGACACAGCTCAGGAGAATGAAACTGTGTGTGCAGATCATAACAATGTGTATTAGTTCATTTCTATTGCTTATAACAAGATACCTGAAACTGGGTAATTTATAAAGAAATAAAATTTATTTCTTATAGTTTGAGAGGCAGAGAAGTCTACAGTTCAGGGAACACAACTGGGGAGGGCCTTCTTGGTGGGAACTCTGCAGAGTCCCATGGTGATTGGGGTATCACATGGCAAGAGAGTGGGCTGAACAGCAGAGAGATAACCTTCTCACTTGCTCTGCTTATAAAGCCATCAGAACCACGCTCAATCCATTCATGAGGGCACAGTCCTCAAATCAGATCACCTCCCACCTTTCAAATACCATAAGAGGATTTCTTACCTTCTTAACACTGTTAATGATGGGAGTCAAGTCTCCAATAAATGAACTTTTGGGGGACACATTTAACCTCTAGTACAATGGCAAAGTTTTAGAAAGATAAGAGCAACCATTTCACTAGTTGTGAGACTAGAAGGAGCAGTTGATATGTATTTGTGGTAGACTCAATGTCTCCCCCATCAGATTGCTTTTAAAATTCAAAGTTTGAATAAGTTTTTCTCAAAGGAATAAAGGAAATATGGTAAAAATTTAAGTCTGTTTCTCACTCCCGTGCATCAACCATTAGTTCCTGTCCTGGAGTCAGTCAATGGTTACCAGTTCCTCGTGTATCTTTCCAGAGATAGCTCACGCATACCTGTGTACTATACACATATTTACACATATATGTACATATTCATATACACGCATACATGGATACATACATGCATGCATGTATACAAATGCATCTCACATACACAGATATTTACCTTGGTTTTTTTCCTTTTTAAAAGTGTGTCTTTGAGATTATTTGATATAAATACATAAAGACTTGCTGTGTTCTTCACTGTCTATACCATAATTTAACCAATCTCCCTTATTGGTGTACATTTAAGTTGTTTCCAATATGTCACTATTCCCAAATAATGTTGCAAAGTACCATTGCCCAAACTTCATCTCAACATGTGTGAGTGCATGTGTAAAAAAAATTCTTACAAGTAGAGATACTGGGTCAAAGGGTAAGTGCATTTTTAATTTTGACAAAATTTGCTAAGCTCCTCCCTCCCTGGATTTTACAGAAACTTTATAACACTGCTTCCTCATTCCTTTTCTTTCTGTCATCACCCACTTCAGGCGAGCTAAAATTGTCAAATATTCAAAAAAATGTGAAGCAGAACATACAAGACAATGTGTCCTTGTTCAGTTTGGGGATGGGATTTGACGTTGACTATGATTTTTTGAAAAGACTATCCAATGAAAACCGTGGAATTGCTCAAAGGATTTAGTCTTCCATTCCTTTTGTATTCCCCTTAAAGTGCATAGTTCTCTGCTTCACTCACAGGGGGTACTAAAAACAGGAATGGATGAACTATAATTCTGCTCCCCCGACCCACTGTGTCTTTCAACTGAACCTTCTGTCGTCTAGGCTAACACCGAGTTGGTCTTGGAAACGCTGGCCCAGATGGATGACTTGGAGGATTTTCTATCAAAAGACAAGCATGCAGATCCTGATTTCACCAGGAAATTGTGGGCCTATCTAACAATCAACCAGCTGCTAGCTGAGCGGTAAGAAGAGGAGAGTATATATACACCATGGGGATTTGCAAAAGTGAGATGTTTACCTTGAATATTTGAAGGAACATACAAAAAGAGTTTGGAACCCGGAAAGGCAGAAAATTAATACAGGTTTGGATCATCAACTTCCATTGGTTCTGAACACTTTAGCTAAAGCTGGGTTCACTCTTTTTTCTTTTTCATTGAGGTATAACCTATGGTCAGTGTGTGAAGTATATTAATTTTAAAGGCACAGTTTAATGAATTTTTACATACATCACCCGTACAATCAACACCCAGATCCAGATGTAGAACCGCTGGGGGTTCCCTCGTTCTCCTTCCCACTCAGCACCACCCCCACCCCCGGTGAGAACTGCTGTTCTGACGTCTGTTGACATCCATTAGTTTTGTCTGTTACTAAATTTCATATAATCATGCAGTGTGTATTCTTCTGTACCTGGCTTGCTTCACTCAATAGGACATCTGTGAGAGTCATCCAGGTGGCTGAATCCTCACCTATGCCCTCCTGCGGCTGCTCAGCCGAGCTGTGTCTCAGCTCTGCAACACAGAAACTGCATCGCTAGAGGGTTGTGTGGTTCTTCGAGCGCCTGCATCAGAATTACACAGGGGTTGATAAAAATGACCACTGCCAAGCCCCACTCCACCTATTAGATCAGATTCTCAGAAAGATGGAACAGGGTCATCTGAGCTAGGGTGGGAAAATGAAATACAGTTGTGTAACTGGATTCTCGGAGAAAATCCCTAATTTCAATAAGATTATGCTGTGGCTTTGAATTAAGTGAGAAATATTCCTGCCCCTTTGACAGCACACTGTATGTATTTAAAGGCATAGAGCAAATTGCTTCAGAAATTAAATATTGACTTTTTAAAAAAATCCCTGTGAAAAAATCAGCGATTGCCAGGGGTTGGAGCTGGGGGGCGGGGGATGACTAGGTGGAGCACAGAGGATTTTTTGGGCAGTGAAACTACTCTGTATGATACTACAATGTTGGATAAATGCCATCCTGCATTTGTCCAAACCCCTAGAATGTACGACACCCAGAGTGAGCCCTAATGCAAACTGTGGAGTTTGGGTGATATCAATGTGTCAGTGAAGGTTCATTGGTTGTATCAAATGCACCACTCTGGCAGGGGGTGTTGATAGTGGGGGAGGCTGTGCATGCATGGGGGTAGGGGGTATTTGGGAAATCTTGGTACCTTCTGGTCAATTTCACTATGAACCTAAAACTGTTATAAAAAATAGTATCTTTAAAAAAAAATCCCTTGGCACTGCATAGCTAGATAAAATGCTAAGCTTCATGTAGCCAGTTAGTTCTGTTTCCTTCTTACCTTGTCTGCCTGCCCCCCGCCACCCCAGGTCCTGGTTGGACACCAGGCAGGGGAGGGGGCTTGCAGGACTGGAGTTCACCCTTATATACAGTGATGTCCTATAACATCTCTATTTCCTGAATACAGAAGCCTAGCTCCTACCGCTGCTGCCAAAAAGAAAATCACAAGATCAATCCTGCAGATGTCTCTAGATCATCACATCGTGACCCCACTCACTGCGATGGTGATTGAGAACAATGCGGGGGATGAGCGCATGCTGGCCGACTCCCCACCACCTGACCAATCCTGCTGTTCAGGTCAGTGTTTCCACCTGGTGGAGAAGTACCACAGGGCTCCTGTCCTGTCCTGCATCAAAGTCATAGTGCATCTGCCCTGCCCTTGCAACCCATGTCCTGCCCCCAGTCCTATGTCCCTCCTGCCCAGCTCCTCCTGTCAACTTGCTTTGAGGATGGTTTATTGCTGTGATCTCTAGACAGTTTTGCTCACATTTAAAATTTTTCATCTTGCTTAAATAGTTACAACTAATATATTTCTGGCATACTGTAAATATTGACCTTTTAAGATAAAATTGTTAAATCATTGTTTTAAATAAATGTATCCAATGAAATAGAATACCTAATTTGATACTCACCATCATCCATATAGAAAAAAAAAATACATCAACAAATTCTGTTTTAATTATTGTAAATTTTATATTGTTCTTATTTTCTAGTTGAACTTGTATTTCCATTCCACTTTCGTAAAAGAACCATATCCTAATGTAATACATTTTTATGCATGTAAGTCTTTTATTGATCACCTATTTCCCTACAAGAAAAATATGTTTGCTTATTTTGTTAAAAATTTTTTTGCTTATGTTTGTTTAAATTTCAAATTTAAACATTGTGACCGTAAGGTTCTGAGTGTTCAAAATTTTCTTCTGGATTGAGTTTTATTAAAATTACCATTAGTAGGGCCGGCCCCGTGGCTCACTCAGGAGAGTGCAGCACTGGTAGCACTGAGGCCGTGGGTTTGGATCTTATATAGGGATGGCTGGTGTAAAATTACCATTAGTAGGGCCGGCCCCGTGGCTCACTCAGGAGAGTGCAGCACTGGTAGCACCGAGGCCGTGGGTTTGGATCTTATATAGGGATGGCCGGTGCGCTCACTGGCTGAGCGTGGTGTGGACAACACCAAGCTGAGGGTTGCAATCCCCTTACCGGTCAAAAAAAAAAAATTACCATTAGTAGACAATTGATTAAAATAATATAAATATATCATACATTTTCATATACATAAGAAGTAAAATTTGAGTGGAAATAATCTCTTAATGAGGAAAATGTGGCTGAGTGTTTTTTCATGAATCCATGGGTAAATATTACTTAAGGATAGACTGAAACAGACAGGATTCAGCATCAAATCTACTTTTTAAAAAATTGTTATAGGCATAAGTCCCGATAAACCTTTACCTGATAACTTGCTGGCACAGATAATTAGATCTAGTTGAATCTAACATTCAAAAATGTTTAATAATCTATCAGCAGACAACTCAAGCCCCTCTCCAATTTTGTTGAAAGCAAAGAATTGGAAACCATGTGACTTGCAAAGAGATTTTGGTTTTAGGTTTCTGGGGGATGCTGGTGAGGGGAGGCATGCCTTCTATTTGTAAACTAGGAGAGAGGGGTTTTCTTAGGAAAGAGTATACGTGGAAGCTGAAAATCTAGAAATTACCTTAAAAACTGTCCATGTTCTCTGTATCCTGTAGAAAGTCTCTAGATATGACCAAGGGCAAAAGACCTCTGTTTATTAGACTCCCCTTCCTCTCTTTCATAGGGACTGGACCTTTCAATACACACTCTTGGGATTCATCTGCATACACTGGAGGGATCATTTTCAGCATTTTTCAATTTCGTTCAAGTGCAATGCCAAGTTTACCGCACTGGTCCAGGGTTCAAGAAATTCTGACCTCTGAGTTCCCAGTCACAATAGCCTGGAGTCTCAAAGCTAAATTGATCTAGGGAGAAACTGACCTTGGGAAGCTGGCATATGTTTCTCAAAGAGAGATTGACCAAATATCAGAAAGCAAAATAAACATTTTTTTGTGATGCAACATTTCTCTCACAGTAGGGGAACCTCTTTGGGAAACTAAATTGCTCAGCTTGTTGTTTGGTGAGTGACAGACCCCAGAAGATGCCCACGGTAATCTAGGACTTCTGAACATCATCTCCCGACCAATGCTGAAGGCACAGGCCCTTCCCCAGCTCTGCAGAATGGATTCTCACACTGTGCCCCTTGCTCAGGTTCCGGACTCCTGAGAGAACCATAGCGCAGCAGCCCCACCTCCACCCCCACCCCCACCAGCAGGATGCAGAGGGAGCCAGAGAGAGAACTCTGGAAAAAAATTAGGGTGAGAAAACCTTAGCTGAGTATCCCTGAAGGCTGCATAAAACAGGTTCTTAACACTGTAAGCAATTTTCATGCAGAAGTAAACCTGGAAACTAATGGATGCAGGTTTTTCTACACAGGTGCCCTATATTATGGCAGCAAAGTTGCTCCAGGTTCCATCCCATCCTGGGCCAACCCTTCACCAGCGCCACTGGTGCCAATGCGTGCAGAAGGAGCCCAGGTGCTGGAGTCCACGCCCCCTCCACATGTGATGAGAGGTAAAGAGCTTCCACATTGCTCCACATCTCATTGCTCAACCACTCGTAATACTTGGAACACTGTGTACGTTAACACAGTCACTGTGTCCTGGTAAACTAGGTGACTTCTATAGGCATCCTTGCCTTCCGTTGAAAGAAGATCACTCCATGCATTAGTCTGCTGGAGCTGCTATAACAAAATTACATAGAACGGGTGGCTTAAACAGCAGACATTTATTCCTCATAGTTCTGGAGCCTGGAAGTGCAAGATCAAGGTGCCAACAGGGTAGGTTTCATTCTGAGGCCTCTTGGTTTGGGTTGTAGGCAGCCACCATCTCACCGGGTGCTCACATGGCCTCTTCCTTGTGGGCACACGGGGAGAGAGAGAGAGAGAGAGAGAGAGAGCTCTCTGGTGTTTCTTCTTATGAGGACACTGATCTCATCATGAGATCCTCATTTTCACAACCTCATCTAAACCTACTGACCTTCCAAAGGCCCCATCTTCCAAATACCCATCTCACCGGGTGCTCACATGGCCTCTTCCTTGTGGGCACACGGGGAGAGAGAGAGAGAGAGAGAGAGAGAGCTCTCTGGTGTTTCTTCTTATGAGGACACTGATCTCATCATGAGATCCTCATTTTCACAACCTCATCTAAACCTACTGACCTTCCAAAGGCCCCATCTTCCAAATACCATCACACCGAGCTATGAATTTTGGAGGGTCAATTCAGTCCATAGCTTTCTGTTTCCAACTGTAGGAGGTTAATTCTGTGGAATGCAAGAAATGCTTCTCCCATGCGAGAGGGCCAAGGTCCTCATGTGAGAGGGGTGTCAGCAGACCTGAGCAAGTTCCTTAATGTGTCTGCTCTTCATGTACTTCGAATTGAAAATAGGCATAATGATACTTAGACACATATTGATAGCTAGGTTGTTGATTAAATGTGAAACCATTTCTAAAGAGATAGCACATAATAGTCACTCAGTAAATGGATGTTAGTATTAGAGATTAGGAGCTACATATACATTTTACGATCAAAAATGCTTTCGCGTTGTTTCCTGTATAACTACATATATTATTTTTTTGTTTGTTTTTAATAGTGTATTTTAAAAATCCCAGTTTAACTCAGTCTTAAAAAATCCTTTCTGTGAATGATTTCAGGGGGAGGTAGCAGCCGTGGTCATCTGAAAGCCAGGAAATCGTATTTGTTTGTGAGAGTTTTGGTGGGCGGGGCTTCCTTGTGCGATTGCAGATTTCTTTGTTCTTTGTTGTCAATTTCTTTGCCCTCCCGTCGTCAGCCTCTCTGCGTCTTCCCCTTCAACCAGTCAGACAGAGAAGCCACCTAGGAATGGGAGAGTGTCTCTTCTCCCAATCCCAGCTTCTCGTATTTCTGTCTTCACCCAAAGAAATCACAGCAGCTAGCTAGCCCCATGGAGAAAGCCTGCACACTTTTCTTTTCTTTTTACTAGAAAGGAGTAAGTTTCAACATTCAAAGACACAGCATGTCCCTCTCCTTACAGGAAGGTCCGAAGTCCCAGCTTAATTAACTTAGGATTTTTAAAATTTAAATAGAAGGGTAGCTCCTGTTGTTCCTACAAATGCGCAGCTTTCTTGACTGCCTAGAACATAGACTTTTCTATCAAGAAATCCTCAGAGTTGATTTCTCAAGATTGAATACCTACCACCCACCAAACATCATACAGAAAAAACTTAGCAAGGACTTTGAATGGATATTTTAAAAGATTTCATCTCACGCCTATGGCTTATCTCTAAAATTATTACATGTGGGCCAAGAGTAACTTGCTTCTTCACTCTTTTATTGGTGGCAATGCTTGGCACAATCACTCAACTCTCCTACCCTAGCACCCCTGGCTGTGGAACTTAGTGAGGGACTGGGCATTTAACTTTCAGTTAAATGTGGCAACCTCATAAAGCTGCACATGTGGGTAGGGAGTTGATGTGGAAAATTGCTGTGCTGGCACAATAGCTGTTTATACTACACCCTTCCAGTGGGCCACTTCTAAGAGCAAGAGACTGCTGCAATGGGCTGGCCAGTTGGCTCAGGTGGTTAGAGGATGGCAGTGATAACACCAAGGTCTGGGATTTGATCTCTGTACTGGCCAGCCACCAAAAAAAAAAGACTACTGCAATGACCAGTGAGTGAGCCACTTAAACTGTTACTTTGCAAAATAGAGCTTTTGTAAAAAAAAGTCCAGATAAAGTTAATTTATTTTTAAAGATTCTTCCCAGTAAGAATGTAGTGCTTGTTCCATGTCTCTGTGGTATGATGCAGTGAAAAGAAGTGGGCCTTGAGAGTCTGACCGTCCCGAGGTCAAAGTATGCCCACATGGGCTTGGGCCATATGCTGAAACCTGTCTAGGTCTCAGCTAGCTCACCTATAAAATGGGGATGATGATATCTACCCTGCAGGGTGGTTCTAAGGTAAGTCCCTCATACCTAGTTGTATTAGTCCATTTCTGTTGTGGCTTATAATAGAATATCTGAAACTGGGTATTTTATAAAGAAACAAAATCTATTCCTTGTAGTTTCAGAGGCTTGAAGTCCAGAGGGAGCGTCTGGTGAGGGTCTTCTTTCTGGTGGGAACTCTAAAGAGTCCCATGGTGACCAGGTGTCACATAGTGAGAATGGCCTGAGCAAGAGAGAGCTAACTTGCTCACTTACTGTCCTTACAAAGCCATCAGAACCACGCCCATTACTCCATGAATGGATCAATCCGTTCATGAAGGCACAGTCCTCACAATCTAATCATCTCTTACAGGCCCCACCTTTCAAATACCATACATGGATTTCCTACCCCCTTAACACTGTTACAGTGGGGGTCAAGTTTCCAGTGCATGAACTTTTGGGGGACACATTTAACCCATGGCTCAATAAACTCTGCATAGTGTTATGGCCATAAACCTCAGGTCCTTAGGAATCTAAGAAGTTAGTCATGGGGATCCTCAATCTATTTTCAACCTAATAAAAATTTAAGGCTGCACAAACTAATTTAAACACAATATTTCATTTCTAGAATTATATCAACTCAATATGGCAGCACTGATTCATTGTTGCTTATCAGAAGTTCAGACTTAAAGGATTTTGGTTAATTAAAATGGCAAAACCAATTGTTATCTTTTTTTTTTTTTTTCCTTTTTTTTGTCTTTTTTCGTGTCCGGCAACGGATCGCAACCCTCAGTGTCGCGCCCGTACC